TAGGACTGTGTGACATTTGGGATCTTTCAGATTCCAATCTATCATGCCAGTCCACACAGTACTTAGAAGTTCAGCTCATCTCTCCTTGCCTCAGCAGTAAGTCTGCTTATAGAAGGCTTGCTCCTCTGCTTGCCTGGTTTCTATCTCAGTAAATGTTCCCATGTATTAAAGTGACTGCTTGTCTTTACTTCTTGATGCAGTAGGGTTCATTTCTCTTTGCAATTTATTTTATTTAGAATTCTCTGTGACCACATCTCTTTGATGGCTTTTTAGTTTATGTGAGGTCTTCTCAATAATATGGTAAGAGTGATGATCATTACAATGTACATATTAATTAGAAGCAAAACTCTACTTCCAATTAGTTATATTGTTGCTTTTTAAAATTTTCTTGTTTTTGGTCTATTTCAGTGTATACTCCCTTTTTTTCTTGCCTGTTGATCTTGAATTTTTGTTCTCAATTTTACCAACACTTAAAATCTGCTATTAGTTACCTTCTGGATTCTAACAGTAATAAATACATTTATTATTTATCCAAATAAATTCATGTCTGAACCTCTCTCCAACCAAGATACTATACTTACCAATATCTCCTTGCTCCACATCAAGATTAAACTTTTAGAAGGCTTTTATTTCTCTATTCTTTTTATATAGTTAAGTTTAAAGAGATAAAAATGCATGGGAATTAGTAGAAGTGCTAAGTGTGAATTTATGAAACAAAATGACATAGTGTAAGAAAACATCTAATCTTTTTCTCTATGCCTAACAGAAAAATCTAATGTTTTCCTCTGTCTTGAGATTTCTGTTTCATTCAGTTGTCATTTGGTTACAGTACTCTCTAAATCCTGGTATATCCAAATTTGCCTTCCTTTGGATAAGAAACTCTTTATCTTGGTTGCCTATATGTTACTCCACTATCAGCCAGCTTCTAGTGTTTTAGATATGTCAAGTGCTCATCTGATTTTCTTTCCTACGTAAAGAACCTGTCACTCCTCTGTAGAAGCTTGTGATATTTTTCCTTTACCTAGGAAATCAGGAATTTCACCAGAGTATGGCTGACTGCCTTTGTTATCATTCATTTTTTTCTGGGACTTGATAAATGCTTTGACCTGCAGAGTCTTATCATCCTTCTGCTCAGGGAAATTTTATCCTATTATTTAATTTTATAGATCATCTTTACCTTCACAACTTTTATCTTCGTGATAATCTTTTCAAATAAACTTCTATGTGAACATCCTTTCTACTCTAGAGATTTTAACATTTGAAGTCATATAGTTTAGTTTCTTTCTAGAGATCTACAAAGACTAAGACAAGAAGGCTGGCAAACCCTGGAGTGTATATCAGAATGAAGTTTTCCTGGGATCTCAGGACCAGTATGTCAAGGCATAGGGTCGGTTCTACTCAGTGTTGAGCGAGGATCTGTGCAAGGTAAGCAGGATTTTTCCAAATGTGTGAGTAGAAAATTAAGTTTTCAGAGTTCATTGAGGGCTTTCAGCCAGCAGAAGCTACAAATTCCTTTGGAAATGGGCAATATCTGTAAGTTTAATGTTGTAGTACATTAAGGGCCTAGCAGATCCTATGAATCATATAATAACCCTAAAAAGGGTCTATATACCTGGAAGAACTGGCTTCTGGAAGAACTGGCATTCAGTCCCAGTCACTGGGAGATGGCTGTAACTTGCAACTAATGAGACTTGAGAAGAGAAGCTTACTCCTGTGCCTCAGCAGAGGGGTATCAGTTGGGCAGGTTTGATATTGGTACAACTCAGACTTCCATCACTATAGCTGGGGCAACAGACCACGAAGAGGCAAAGAAAATAACTTTCTTCAAGAGCCTCAGTAGCCTGAAGAAGAAATAAACTAGAACTGGTAGGGACACTGATGCCAATGGAAGAATCAGTCTTTTAAATTAAAACAAAACAGACAAAAAACACCTATTAAGAATTCTCTCCAGGTGCAGTGGCTCATGCCTGTAATTCCAGCACGTTGGGAGGCTGAGGCAGAATTGTTTGAGCCTGGGAGTTTGAGACTAGTTCTGGCAACATAGTGAGACCCTGTCTCTACTTTAAAAAAAAAAAAAAAAAAAAATTAGCTGGATGTGGGTGTGCATGTGTAGTTCCAGCTACTTGGGAGGATGGCTTGAGTTGAGCCTGGGAGGTCAAGGCTTCAGTGAGCTATGGTTGCACCACTGCACTCCAGCCCAGGTGACAGGGTGAGACTTTGTCAAATACACACAAAAGAAGTTTAAGTAATTACTAAATAACAAGATAACCCTATTTTAAAGGAAGGAAACAGTGGCTTTCAGAAAGTAAATTAGAAGGTAGGTAACATTCCTAAGGTCATATAACTAAAAGCAGCAGTACCTGGACTGACACCCACACCTCTAAGCCACAAAGCCTTCAGACCCATTTATGTGTTTGTTTAGCCCCTGTGGTTGGGACCTGATTTTTTTCATCTTCATATCCACAGTGCCTAACCCAAATGCTTAAAATATAGAAGGTCTTCAAGAATTGACTCAAATATTAACTGAATGAATCTATTCTCCTATGCAACATTCACCAGATTCATATGCTACAATGCAGTGTTAGGTGTATTAGTCATCTGAATGCCTGAGTTAATGTACTAGGACTGTCTTTAAAAACGTTAATTTACCCTTTGGTAATGTTCCTAAACTTAGCGCAAAACTGAAATGCATTACAGTCATGTGCTGAGTAATGATGTTTTAGTCAATGACAGATCACACATACAATGGGGGTCCCATAAGATTACAATACTGCATTTTGCTGTACCTTTTCTATGTTTAGATACACAATTATTTACCATTGTGTTACAACTGCCTGCAGCATTAGGTATGGTCATATGCTGTACAGGTTTATAGTGTAGGAACAGTTGGCCATACCATACAGCTTAGGTGTAGTAGGCTATACTATCTATGTGTAAGTACACTCTATGATATTTGCACAATGAAAAAAATCACCTAACTATGCATTTCTTAGAATGTATCCCCATTGTTAAGTGATGCATGACCATATTTAAACATTTCCCAAATTTCCCAGATAGTAACACAGTCTAGAGAAGATAATAAAAGAAATTTTATGTTTCTTGGGAGACACTTTGAGTATTTATTTTGTAGAAAATCAGATCATGACATTTTACTCTATTGTACCTAATCTGAATAGCTGAAAGCAGACATTTTTTTAGTTTTCCTGAACCTTACCGACTTTTAACTCAAGACTATGATCAAAGAAAGAAGAACAAAGACAAACAGATATGCTGCAAAACAAAAACAGGCAGGAATATGTGCCAAGTTTTGAAGACAGAACATATATCCAGCAATCTTATGTATCATTCATTAACAAATGGTTACAAGCTACTCACTAAGCACAAGGCACTGTTCTGGGAACAGGAGAAGCTCTAACCTCCCTTTCAAGACATCTTATGAGTTACTTGTTTCGGGCATCCTATGTCAGTTTTGGCAATCCCCGTGGATCTTTCTATATAGAACAGAGATAGAATTATGCTTTGATTATCTGTGCCTATGAAAACGTGAAATTTATTATATTCCAATGAAATACAGTTATAGAAGGCAGAGATCTTTTCTGCTGAATTAATGTGAAGAAGTTATCTGTCCTGAGACTGCAAGCCTTTCTTAAGAATTGGAAAAGAAGGTGAACTACATTTCGCAGATAAATAATTTTATATCTAGTAAGTCCAAAAGAATCAATGCTAAAATTAACACAATCAGTACCAGAACTAATAAAATAAATTGGAAAGTTAGCATCATATAAAATTTAATATGCAAAAATCAATTTCTCTTTTTTTTTTTTTGGAATGAAGTTTTGTTCCTGTTGACCAGGCTAGAGTGCAATGGTGCGATCTCGGCTCACTGCAACCTCTTCCTCCCGGGTTCAAGCAATTCTCCTGCCTCAGCCTCCTGAGTAGCTGGGATTACAGGCGTATGCCATCACGTCTGGCTAATTTTTGTATATTTAGTAGAGACAGGGTTTCACCATGTTGACCAGGCTGGTCTTGAACTTCTGACCTCAGGTGATCCACCTGCCTTGGCCTCCCAAAGTGCTGGGATTACAGGCGTGAGCCATCATGCCCGGCCTCAAAAATCAATTTCTATTACATATTCAACAAATTAGAAGATATAATGAAAGAGAATACATCACTTATAAGGGCAATATAAATAATAAAATATATGAATAAATATAACAAAAAATGTGTAGAACAGTATGAAGAACAAAAATACTTCTGAAAAATACAAAAGTATAGGTGGTCCTTGACTTATGATGGTCTGACTTAACGATTTTTCAACTTGACCATAGTTTGAAAGTAACATGCTTTCAGTGAAAAGCATACTTTGAGTATTCACACAACTACTCAGTTTTTCACTTTCAGTGGAATATTCAATAAATTACAAGAGATATTCAACACTTTATTATAAAACAGGCTTTGTCTTAGATGATGTGGCCCAACCACAGGCTAAAGTACACTTACATCTAATGTACATCTAATGTACACTTACATCTAATGTAAGTGTTCTGAGCATGTTTAAGGCAGGCTATGCTAAAGTATGATGTTTGGTAGGTTTGGATGCTTTTCTGACATATTATAGGTTTATCGGGCTATAACTCTATTGTAAGTTGAGGAGTATCTAATTGGAATATCCATGTTGTGTGACAAGACAATGTAGCATCATATAAACGTCAGCTCTCCCCAGGACAATATATAAATTTAATATGATTTTAATTTTTAAAAAGTTTTTTCCCAGCACTAGACAAGTTGATTCTAAAAATCATGTAGAAAAACATGCAAGAATACCTTAAAAAAAATCCTGAGGGGAAAAGAACGAGTGACCACTGGAAATAAACACTACTTAATATTAGTATATATCATAAAAAGCCTCTGTAACTAAAATAATGCAGTATTAACACACGAGTAGCCATGTAGATGAACAAAACAGATTAAAATGTTTAGAAAAAGATTCAAGTACATACGGTATATGAAGAAGAAGAGATAGTTTCCAATACGTGGTGTTGGGACAATACGTTGGAGACAAGTGAATGGACCTTCTGAAAAATAAATTGAATCCATATCTTGCAACATTTGTGCTACAAAGTCAAAAGCCAAATGACAAAGTGGGAAAAATATTTGCAGCCTTTATTATTGATAAATGACAAGGCTCTCTATTATGTCAAACGAAAGCACACAAATATACAATAAAGATAAAACTTGATTTTGTAAAAATTTATTTTCAAGTTATGTTCACTGACAGGATCTAGAAGCAATGATTCCCCAATAGAAATGAGTGTACTTAGTCCCAGATTTTAGTCTCTAAATTGCATTATCTATTAATAGTACCAGAGTTCTTTAGATAAATGACTGATTGCAGTTCTGGGGTAGGGATAGTACCAGACGAACTCAGGACATTATAAGCATGGAAGTGCTCAAAGGCTTACTAGTTCATGTCAAAGACACAAAAGCAGGAATGAATGGGCTCTCCTTTGCCAAATTAGGGGACAATTTGAACCACACACAAAAAATGTTAGAAAAGTAGTATAACAAATTGAATGAAAAAAAAAAAAAAACCCATAGTACTTATATAGAAAGAAAGACAGGAACCCCGGGGGGGGCGGTGGTGGTGGTGTGTGTGGAGGGAAGAAAACATTCGACTGAAGAATACCAGCCAATAAACATAAAGGTGATAACAGCACTAGAAAACACCATTTTGTATCCTCTGCCCACTACAATAGTTAGTTCAGGCCAGGATCATCAACGGATGCTGAAACTATGAAGTAGGCTTACTAAGCCCACTAAGTAAGGAACATACAGAAGGAACAAAGGAAGGTTGGGAACCAGATATTCACATAGCCTTACAGTATCATTCCACAGATTATTTCAACAATTACAAAGAAAAATATTAATTTTTACAATGAAGAGATATGGTGTTCACCACCTTAATTAAGGACTAAACTTGACAACACCAAAAGTGGGACAAGCTGACATGATATGCACCTGATATGATGCAAACCATTTACAGGTACCTTTTAGATATTTTTCATAGTATTTTTGACAAAAAAGTTTAGCCTGAATATAATCAGGATGAAATACATTCAAAATGTTGGACATTTAGTAAGACAGTTGGTCCAGTCCGACTTTAAAAAGTCAATGTCGTAACAACCAAAAAAAGATTCTAGATTAACTGAAATTAAATGACATTAAAATGACAAGACAAGCCATTTAAGTATGAATCTGGACTGGATGCTGAATAAAATAAGCATGTAAACAAAAAATTGCTTAAGACTTTTTTTGACACAATTAGGGAAACCTGAATATAAAATGTTAATTAGATTAGAATCTTGGCTATTTTTCTTAGGTATGATAATGGTACTGTGGTTAGACAGTAAAATTTCCTTACTTTAGCAGATGTCTGATGAAGTTTTGGGAAGGAAGAAGCAAACGCAAAATTAGGGGTTTTATTTTACATTTTTTCAATTTTTTATGGTTTAAAAAAATTTCAAAATATGGTTGGGGAATAATAGGCCCTGAATAGACATTAAATTATCTTATAGTAGGCAAACTGAATCTTCAACAGTTTTGCCTGAATAGACATTTAATTATCTTATAGCAGGCAACCCAATCTTTAACAGTTTCGAACACTGTAAAGTCTTCCACATAAGCAGAGTAATATGGTTTTGAGTTATTTTATTTATTCATTCATTCATTCATTCATGATACAGGGTCTTGCTTGGTTGCCCGGGTTGGAGTGCAGTGGCATAATCATGGCTCACTGCAGCCTTGATCTCCTGGGCTCAAGTGATACTCCCAGCTCTGCCACCCAAGTAGTGGGACTACAGGCATGTACCACCACACTCAGCTAATTTTTTAATTTTTTTGTAGTAATGGGTCTCACTATGTTGCCCAGGCTTGTCTTGAATTCCTGGCCTCAAGCAATCTTCCTGCCCCAGTCTCCCAAAGTACCAGGTGCATGAACCACTGAGCCCAGCCAAAGTTCTTACTTTAAAAATGTCTCAGCATTATTAAAAGCAATTAGAAAACAAAGCACTCCTTCTCAACTCTGGTTTATTAGATCACCTTCCTAAAAATAAGAGAAAGCTAAAAAATTAATGCATGAATGAAAAAATATTACATATTTATATTCTACATGTTGATTGCTCTACTCAATAAATTTACTATGTTTATTGAAAAATAATAATTTTCTGGGAAAATTACTGTCCCAAATCAGAGGTATCAGTTATTTATAATTCTCCATGATTAGTATTTGTTCCTTTACAATTAGAAAAAAATACATTTCAAGGGATAATTTACTAGTATATGTCCTGACTCTGGGGCCATTTTGCATGTATTACAAGACTGGCTCTGATAATTGTTAGATATGTGATTTTGGAGCAGTTATTTGCAACTCACATCTCTGGGAAGACCTTCCTGGGCTATGCCAGTCTTTAATAATCTGTATTATTTATTTCCATATATTAGTCAAAAATAAAATTCACTGATCAAATGAATACATAAAGTTAGCAGAGATTTAACAGACTTCTAAACTAATGCCCAAATAATTGTGCTAACCAATAATCAAATACCAACTATACTAATTTCTACCTAAAACCATAAAGAGTTGCCTACAGTTTTCAGTATTTGATAAATTTCCTCAGTAAACTCTAATATGGACTGGAGTCTGTTCAAATCATATCCTTTGCGACATGCTCTAGATATCCTGAGGCTAGTACGGTGTGTTCCTAATAAATTACACTGGCAGAGCCAACAAACTTCAATTCTGCGTGTTCAATCCTTAAAATATAACTTAATATCTGTCTTTAACATTAATATTATAACAATAATATTATAGATGGAAAGTAGATTGACAATAGATGAACATATAGATTTAACAATATGTTATGGACTGAAAATCAAAAGTACAAATATAACAAGGATAAGAAAGGTAAACTTATAATTTCAGCATTTCCTTTTTACTCAGATTTGTTATACTGCAGAATTTAAAAAAAAAGTACAAAAGAAACTTCTTGTATTTTCTTGTTTCCTCCTTTTTTTCTTTACTGCCTTTTTGGGTAACAAACATTCAAGTTATCCACCTCATAGTCACTCCTAATAGTTCTTAGTTTTTTTTCACTAAATAGCCTCTTCCAGCTTATCTCATTAGCTCCCATGGGCTCAAATACCACACATATACCAATGACTCCTTCATCTGTACTTATACTCTAAGCCTGTATTCCAAAATACACTGTATAGTTCCTAGCACAGGGCTTGACTCACAGTAGGATATTTAATAAATGAGGTTCAAATGAATGAGCAAGCTATTAGATATTGTGCTTCAGAAATGCCGTAATATCTTGTAGGCATTTCAAACTCAATATATCCAAAATACAATTCATTATCTTCTTCTCAATATTCCTATATTTCCTATTTTCATTTATGGATTGCTACCCACTCATTCACCTAAATTAAAAGCCTCTGGCACCCTCAAATTCTACTTGTTTTCTTTTAGCTCACATTCTAGACCTCCATGTTAATGATTTAACATCTCCACTCTCTTACTACAACCCCCTTCTCCTACCTCAATTATTAGATCCCCTTTTAACTGGCCTTCCTAGCTGGAATGCCCTAACACATTTTATGATTCTTCTCGTCTTACAATTAGTTCACATACTGTCTTCTCTATGAGGTCTTATTATCTTCTCTAACACAGAATTTGTTACTACATCATCTGCACTCTCTAGTACACTTCGTTCATTCCTTTTACAGCAAATATCAAACTATGCAATCCCATCTACCTACCTTTTTAAAAATAGGTCTCCAGTGAATACTAGCAGTGCTAGGGATGGGGCTGAGTTCTGCACTTCATTTCTACAAGGTTCTGTACAATCTGGGCCCGCTGCTACCTCTCTGGATTTACTGTCTTCTACTTTCCTCCTTGTTCCCTCCAATCCAGCTATACTGACCTCTTTGCTGTTCAAACTGCATATCAAGTACAATCCTGTTCCAGGATCTTGGATGGGGATGCTATTCTCCCAGACAACTCAGTTTCCTAGCTTCTTTCCTTGCTTCCTTTTTTTCCTAGCTTCCTTTTTTCCAAGCTCCCTCCCTTCCTTCCCTCCCTCCTCCCCCGCTTCCCCCTCTCCGTCCCTCCCTCCCCATTCCCCTCTTCCTCCCTTCTCCCTTCCTTCCCTCCCTCCTCCCCCGCTTCCCCCTCTCCGTCCCTCCCTCCCCATTCCCCTCTTCCTCCCTTCTCCCTTCCTTCCCTCCCTCCTTCCTCCCTTCTTCCCTTCCTCCCTTCTTCTCTTCCTCCCTCCCTTTCTCTCTTCTTCATCTAAATTTTGCTTAATTCTCAGTTACCTTGTGAAGCTTTCCTTGACCACCCCATTTAAACATTTAAACAGCAACCTAACCCTACTCCTCAGGTACAACTCCCTTCCCTGCTTTGTCATTATACTGTTTTTATTTAGCAGCCCTCTGTATCTATGAGTTCTGCATCCATGCATTCAACCAGCCATGGATTGAAACTATTCAGAAAAGAAATGCATCTGTACTGAATACACAGTCTTTTTCTTGTCATTATTCCCTACACAATATAGGACAACAACTATTTACATAGCATTTACAATGTATTAGGTATTATAAGTAATCTAGAGATGATTTAAAGTATATAGGAGGATGTACATAGGTCATATCCAAATACTGTCCATTTTATATTAGGGACTTGAGCACTCGCTATCTACAAGGGGTCCTGAAACCAATTCCCCAGATACTGAGGAATAATCAGACTACATTTGCTTCATGTCATTCTCCACTAGAAGGTAAGCTACACAAAGATGAGAAGTTTTACCAGTTTTGTTCACTGATACCTTCAGAGCACGTATAAAAGTGCCTGGGACACTGTAAGTATGCACTGGGTACTTACTGACTGTATAAATGATCTTGCACTCCCAGTACCTGCATGTGTAAAAATTAAACATCTTTTTAAGTAAAATAAACCCCCCCCAAAAGTATAAAGTTAAAACAAGAAGGGATTTAATGATGGAAAACATTTTTTTGG